GGAGGGAGAAAACAAACACCATTGCCCTGGAGTCCATTTTACAATTGCAGTAGAACTGTTCTGTAGGGTTTCCTTGGCTGTAATCTTTTTGGAATCAAATGGCAGGCATGCCTTCCACAGCACCACAGAGTGGGTGTCAACCATCCGTCAGTCTTCAGGTTAGTAGTCTAGTGCAAACTAGTTGCGTCACCCACGAACTTGAGGGAGGAAAAGGGCTGTGTTTTTCGACTTTCTGTTGGGAAAGCACCAATATGGTGTAGTGGCATAAAGATGGGCTTTAGGATGAGAAAGATCAGAGTTCAAACGTTCAACGCTGTGCAGCCGCTTGCTAGCTGTGTGACCCTGAACAAGTTAGTGGACTTCTCTGAACCTTGATTTCCTCATCTGGAAAGTGGGGCAATAAACCTTCTCACATAAAACACGTGGAGTATGCAGCCCTCACTGTGGGTGACTCCTCCCCAGGAGTCAAACAAGCAGATGCTGGTAATATGCCAAACTGCCAAGACGGTGTTGAAGGCCAAGCCAGGTTTACCCTGGGAGCTTTCTAGAACCTGGACTCGCATTGCCAAAATACTGCCTGGAGTAAGAAAATGAGAAGGTGTGAGAAGGACTGTGATAAAGCCTATAGGGCCTTTTGCGTCTCACCTGCTTCAGGTGAGAAGCGCTCCAGATCGCCTGCAGGGCTGCGTTTCTACTTTCTGGAGGTCTGTGTGGGAGCAAAGTCTTTATTGTAGGAGCTCTTGGGGAAAGTTCTCCTCAGGGGGCAACTAATTGGCTTTTGTAAACAGAGACTTAATTGAAGGAGAAAGGTGGGGGAGCTGGCAGGGCAAGGAGAATTGGGGTGGGTGGGGTTCCATATTATCTTGTTTCCAAGTTTTCATTTATTTATTTAGAAGTAGATTGCCCAACCTTCCTTCCAAGGAGTGACTGGTGGCTTTGAACCGCCAGTCTTCTGGTTAGCAGTCAAATGCCTTAGGCACTACACTACCAGAGCTCCCCCTAGGAAAACAGAAGGTTGGAAATCAGAGAGAGAGAGAGAGAATTTTAGAAGAATAAGAAGGCGAAGAGGAAAAGGCACAGCCTTAGGAAACAGCTTTTGCTGTGTTTGTTTTCCTGTCTGTCCGTCTCGCTTAGATTACAGGGATCTGTGGGGTGATGACCACATCTGGTCCAGGCTGGGCACCCACCTCAGGGGCCTGTTGTTCTGTTTTTCAACCCGCTACCTTTGCATGAGAAGCTTCAGGGCCAGGAAGCACAGCTAGGCCCCTTACAGCTGGTTTACATGCTCTTTGTCCAGCTCTTCCAGAAAAACCATCCCGCCAAGGCTCTAGAGAGGAGGGAGGAGGAGGGGAGAGGAGGGGGGAGGAGGGGAGAGGAGGAGAAGGGAGGAGGGGGGAAGAGGAGGGGGAAAGGGGGAGAGGAGGGAGGAGGAGGCTAGAGGAGGGCGGTTTCTCCTGCTCCTGACTTGGAAACTTCTAGAAGCACCTGAAGAAAACCCAAACTGAGCTGTGAAAACCCCCACTGCTCTGCCCTCTTAATGATGGCTGTGGGCTGGGGTCCGTTGTTGCAGCCCTGTGTGTTCTCAGTGCCTTCCGGCCTAGGGGGCTCACCTCCCGCACTCTGCTGGACAGCATTCTCATGTGATCCATGAGTTTTCACTAATTTTCAGAAGAACCAGGCCTTTCTTCATATAGTGTGGAAGCTCTGCTGAAATCTGTCCACCATGGGTGGGCCTGCTAGTGTTTGAAATACCTGTGACATGGCTTCCAGCGTCACACCAGTGTGTAAACCACCACAGTTCAACAGACTGGCAGATGGGGATGTGGTTCCCGCTACAACTTTATGTGAAAAAAGCAAATAGCACGATTGCAATTATATTTTTTTAATTCATAGAATAAAAGACTGGAAGGAAATCCCAAGCCTTTGCAAATCCATAGATTCATGAAAGTAGAAGTGTTTGCTTTTGACTTTTCCCTGAGTTGTGCATCCATTAAAAGTCAAGTCCTTATACCATAAGTTGACTGCCTGTTCGAATGTGACCAAAATGTTCTGTTCTGCTTTAAGGCCATTTTTCACAAAATGATCACATGCTTACTGCTTCTCCAGAGCTCCCGTGTGCACCATGGCAACTGAGAACGGCAGAGCCACGTTGAGGTGGGGGAGAGGGTTCAGAAGCGTTAGGGCCACACTCCAGTATCTTGCCCCTGCATGGCCCCTGCAGAGTGAGACAGGTTCAGATTTATTCTTCAGTCATTCTTTATTCATTCTGTCTGTCCTGAACTTTCCAGTCACTTACAGTTGGTGAAAGTTCCAAAAACTAAATCTGGGACTGTCCAGAAGTCTTGTAGGTCAAGATGACAACAGTGGTTACGTAGAAAGGGAAAGTTCAAAGAAAATGAAGGGAACTTGAGAAGTAAGCAAGGTAGAATACAACATTGGGAAATCTATCTCAAAGGAATCTTAAATGGTTAAAAATAAGTAAATGACCCCTGCATTGTTTTTTGCAATTCTTCTGTAAGTCTAAAATGATGTTAAAACATTAATTAAATGAGAAGTTCAAATAAATCTGGGGTAGAAAATTAAAAGTAGAAATAATGAGATAATAAAAGGGTATAAAACAAATCAAAGCATGGTTGGCATTTTTAAAGGGTGAGGAATGAAAATCAAAACAAAAATTACAGAAGTTTAAAGAGAGGAAGTGAAAGTAACAAGAGCAAGGGAGTTTAAAACAAGGATGAAGGGAAATATAAAGTTGAAAGTTGATAATTTAAAAGGAAGATACACAAAGAACAAAACAAAAAAACAAACCCACTGCCGTTGAGTCTAATCCAACTCATAGCAACGCTATAAATACCAAACTCACTGCCATCGAGTTGATTCCAACTCACAGTGGCCCCCTTTAGCTTTCCGAGGTGATATATCTTTCCGGAAGTAGATGGCCCAGTCTTCCTTCTGTGAAGTGGCTGGTGAGCTTGAACCACCAACCTTCTGGTTAGCAGTCAGATGCCTTAGGCACTGCACCACCAGAGCGCCTAGTGACCCTATAGGACAGAGTATATTGCCCCATAGGGTTTATTTACAAGGTTGCAGTTCTTTAAGGAAGCAGACTGCCTCATCTTTCTCCTGTAGAGAGGGAGGGGCTGGTGGGCTTGAACCGTTGACCTTTTGGTTAGGATCCGAATGCTTTAACCATTGCACCATTAGAGCTCCCTTCAATAAAAGGAGCGTCAAATTACAAGGGTACAAATGTCAAACAATGTGCTATTCAAAGCAGCACAAAGCGGAGCAAAATGGCATATTTAAAGGTCCAGAAATTCAAAGTTATGAATTATTTTTTAAGTAAAAACACATTCTAAATAAAGATGAAGACAAAGTGTAAGAAAACAAACTTCCAGCAGGCTCTACTGAGCTGCAGTAGCATCTCCCAGCTGGGACTTTTGGGGGAAAGGAGTGGCATTTTGCTTGTCAGCCCTGAAGCCTCACATCTCCCACATGGCCCCCCTCTGGGCCTATTCAAGACTTACCGGGCCACCAGGAGAGCGGTCCTGGGAATGCAAACCCGAGGGTCCTGGGGGACCCAGTTAGTGAAGGCCGCTGCCTCGACTTCCAGAAAAGCCCACTGAGATCGAAGCTGAGAGAATCATGACAGCAGGGTCGAGAGCTGGTTGTGGTGTGAGGTTGCTGTGGGACTGAGCTATCACTTAGCTCTCTGCCTCGTTTTCCTCACAGGAAGTGGCCAGCCGATGACCTCCCTCTCCTCTGCCCTCTTCATAAAATAACTTCTAGTCAGCAGTATTTATTTTTTTAATGAAGTGGAAGGAGTGCTTGACTGGGAATAATAACAAGTCGAGCTTGCTGAACCTGCCTCACCTGGTGGTTTTGAATATGGACTGAGGTGATGTTGGTGAATTAAAAGTGCACACAGATGTGACTAACACTGTGGGAGGGATGGAGTTGTTGGGGGTGAGATGGGGTTAGGGGAAATGGAGATCCTGCCTGCCATAAGCTGGGGAGGGGCACCCGCTCTCTCTGCCCCCATCCCCTCCCCCCCAAGTACTCCTCAGGATTTGCTTTTGTCCCTCAGCTTGACCTCACAGCCCTCATTCTCCCGTCTTCCTTCTCCAGGTGAGCTTTGAACCAGGATGGCTGAGCCCCGCCAGGAGTTCAACGTGGTGGAAGATCATGCTGGGGCGTACGGGTTGGGGGAGAGGAAAGATCTCCCCTCTCGGGGGGACTACACCCTGCTGCAAGACCATGAGGGCGATGCTGACCATGGCCTGAAAGGTTAGTGGACAGCTGTGCACACCAGGCCCAGGACGCCTTGGGGGCACAGTCAACCTGCTGCCTTTGGATAGGGTTGTCAGGAAGGGTTCCCATCCAGGTGTTTAAAGGTGTTTTGAATGGGTCCCTTGTGCTGGATTGTCAAACAAGTGAAACCTCGTTGATTTGGATTGGCAAATGTGCAGTTATTTGAAAATGTGCCTTACCGAAGGGGAGTCTGCCAAATGAGTGAATAGAGTGTGGCAAAGATTGCAGGGACATTTGACTGCTGTTCAAACCCACCAGCTGTTCTGCAGGAGAAAGATGAGGCAATCTACTTCCGTGAAGATTTACAGCCTTAGAAACCCAATGGAGTCGCTATGAGTGGGAATCAACGCAATGGCAGTAGGTTGGTTTTTTGTCAACTTAATTCATAACTCGAGTCTTTGGCCACCCTGTTAACCTGGAAACCAGCACAGCCATTAGCATTCAAAATACATTATTTTTGTCTCTTCCTTAAATCAGGCCTTGTTGTTGGGTACCATCTAGTTGATTCAGACTCATAATGGACCCATGTGACAGAGTAGAGCTGCCCCATAGAGTTTCCTAGGTTGCAATATATGTATATATTCTTTTAATTGTAATTTGGGTGAAAGTGTACAGAGCAAATTCAGTTTCCATACAGCAGTTCACATATACTTTGTCTCATGACATTGACTACAATTTACCCCAATGAAACAGCTCCCCTCCAGCTTCTTCCCGATAGTTACCTCTTCCCTGTGTCCATCCCTCCATGCACTCCTGCCCCCTGAGCTGTCTCCCTGTACATAAACAGCCCTTCTTTCTCCCATTGTTCTTTCCAAGTAGTGTATCTACCTCAGGTAAATGTTCAGCTCATATTCCTGTCTTTTGTTTGACTGGAAGCCACAGGTGTGGGTTCAATTCCAGACCTGAAGAGCAGCTAGGGGCCATAGTCTCAGTGGTCCCACCAGGCTCTGTCGGACCAGCAAACCTGGTCCCTAGGTTGAAATCTTTACAAGAGCAGATTGCAAGGCTTTTCTACCACAGAATGGCTGGTAAGTTCAAACCACCAACACTTCAGTTTGCAGCCCAACGTTTAACCGAGATACCACCAAATCAGGCCAGTGTGGCCCCTATTTGGCAAGAGTTGAGTAGCTCTGGGATTCTTTATATACTCAAATTAATAAACTCATCAACTTGTAAATATTCTGTAATACAGTTGTTTGGCCAGATTGGCATGACCTCCTCCTTTCCCTTCCAAACAAATGTGTTTCATTTCACTGTCTGACCACCCTGTTTGGGAACCCAGCAGTGCACGTAGATGCCTGTCTCCCGTGCCCCATGGCCAGCCTCTGAGTCCGTGCAGGAAGCAGGGTGCACCGTATTGATAGGCAAGGTAGCCTGGTTCAAAAATTAAGTTAAAAACATATATTATACCTTCTCAAAATAACTGCCTGGTAGTTTTCAAAAGTATTCAGGTCATGAAAACAAAGAAAGACTGAGGAACCAACTCAGACTGGAAGAGACTAAGGAGACATAATAAATAAATGCGGTGTGGGATTCTCGACCTGATCCTGACCTATGGAAAGGACATTAGTGAGACATGGGTGAAATTTGAATAAAGGCTGTAGATTAATTAATAATACTTATCAAGATCCTCGAACTAAGGTGATGTAAGATATTAACATGTAGGGACTCTGGGTGAAGAGTATGAGAGAACTCTTTGTACCAGTTTTGCAACTTCTTTTGGATCAGAAATTGATTAAAAATTAAACAAATAAATATGTATATATATAACGTGAACAAACGCAACACACTGCCATCGAGTTGGATCTCATTCACAGCGACCCCTCCTTGGGTTTCCGAGGTGGTATCTCTATGGAAGGAGATTGCCCAAGCTTCCTTCTGAGGAGTGGCTGGTGGGTTTGAACTGCCAGCCTTCTGGTTAGCAGTCAAATGCCTTAGGCACTACGCCACCAGAGCTCCTATGTATATACATGCATATCTGTAATTTTTCTTTAAATAGTTGTTCTAAAATAAAAAGTCCATTTGAAAATATCGGGAAAGACGTGGTTTTTACCACCCTTACTTTTTGAAAGGGAAATGAAAGGTAATTTGTGATGTAAGAACAAGTTTACCGAGTCACTTTGTGCTTCAGTGGTTTCTGAAATATGTTGGCTAAAGCTACTCAATTCTTTAACATCAAATATGATCAGAATCTGTGTGCTAAGAGACTATTTACATGTATATAGGAGCTCTTGTAGCGTAGTGCCTAAGGCACTTGACTGCTAACCAGAAGGCTGTCGGTTCAAACCCACCAACCACTCCTCGGAAGGAAGACTGGGCATTCTACTTCCATAGAGATACTGCCTCAGAAACCCAAGGAGGGGTTGCTGTGACTTGGGTTCGACTCGACGGCACATAACAACAACAACAACATGTGCATGTGTGTATAAACATGCACCTAGCAAATTTTCCATTGACCTTTTTTGAAACTGCTGTGAATGAGGAGCATTTTAGGACCATTTGTTTAGCCAAAGAATTTATTTTCTAAGAAAGCAAGTGACACCGAAGAGATTTTTTATCATTCTTACCAAATTAGCTCTTGCTACTAGATATTTAAGGAGTTCTAGTGGTATAGTGGGTAAGGCATTTGGCTGCTAACCAGAAGGCCGGAGGTTCAAATCCACCAGCTGCTTGGAGAAGGAAGATGAGACAGTGTTTAGAACTAGTGGTTTTTGTATGGGAAATGACGGATTTGACTTGGCAGTTGTTGTTGTTGTTGTTATGTGCTGTCGAGTCGCCCCGACTCATAGCGACCCCTCCTTGGGTTTCCAAGGCAGTATCACTACGGAAGTAGGATTGCCCAACCTTCCTTCCGAGGAGTGGCTGGTGGGTTTGAACCGCCAGCCTTCTGGTTAGCAGTCAAGTGCTTTAGCCACTATGCTACCAGAGCTCCTTAGTGTCGTCTTTATTAGCAACGTTTTAGATAAGTGACAGAGGACCATTTTGGATAATAACGAGAAACCAGTTATAGAACAAAGAGCATATATATGGATGCTGAAAGATAGCATAGGTCTGATACAGCCAGAGAGCTGGAAAGTGGGCGGAGGTTGGTTGGCTGATAAAATAATGCACACTAATCAATTAATGGAGTCCCTGAGTGGCACAGATGGTAAGTGCTGAACTACTAACCAAAAGGTTGGCAGTTTGAATTCACCCAGAGGCACCTTGGAAGAACAGCCTGGTGATCTCCTTCCAGAAGATCACAGCCTTCGGAAGCTCTGTGAAGCACAGTTGTCCTCTGACCGAACAGCAACTCTGTTGTTATTTTTTAATGAATTCATGTGTGTTGAGGGGTTAACTTGTAATTTAACAGGCATGATGTAAATGATGACTGCAAATGATGATGGTGTTTGGGGGACAAGTGTGTTGGGGTGCCCTTCACAGCCATATTACTTCTATGTCCTGGCAGTCAAGGCTGCTGATGAAACAAAACCCAGAGACCACGTGCATGATGCTCCGTCACCGTTTGTCCCAAGCCTTCATGAGGCAGTTTGCTGGTTTTCTTCCGTTTCCCTGCAAGCTCCAGCATCAGGGAGCTGTGTGGCTGGAAGCTGGTTGAGAATTCACCATCGTGACCCTGGATGGGCGCAGCAGGGCCAGGTGGTGAGAGCCTGAGTCTGCTCTTGCCATGCACTCGAATACCACCTGCTTTTTTATCTCCGAGCCCTGCTCTGTGCACAGAACTGACTCCTGGTCCTGAAGTTGACTCTAAGCTGTGCCCTACCCCAGGTAGAGAGGCTTTCGCAGAACCCCCCAGAGCCTCCCTGAGTTCTTATCTCTGGCTTGCCCTTCTGGGTGTGGGTGTAATGAGGACCCCAGGAGATCAGAGCCCATGGCAGCTTGGGTCTTACTCAGGACACAGCTCCTGTCCGGTTCAGATAAGGGTCCCCTGTATTCTCATGCTTCTTATCTTACAGGCCTTTGAGCATCTTCTTTACCCACAACTCCACCTTACCTTGCCCTTCATCCTTCGGTGCCTAGGGCTGGGTCCTCCTACCACAGTCACCAGCTCTGCAATATCCCCCAGCCTCACTGTTGTGGCTCTGCCCAGGCTTAATGACACCTGACTCTCTAGCTCACAAAACCTGTCCCCTTCACCCATGGGACAGCACCACTGAATGTCCCAGCCACTCCTGAAACCTAACAAGTTGAAACCATGGTCCATCCTCCCCACTCCCTGGACCATGCCTGGTTTCTCCACTGCTAGCACCACCATCAACTAGTCAGTTGATGACCCGGTCAGTCCTCCCTTATACCTCTGCACAGCACTTGGGGATCTTAACCCCCATTACCCCGACCCAGACCTTCCCACCACAACCTCATTGTGTAACAATGGCAGCCCTTGGCCTTTACACCTTCTTGCCTTCATCCTGTCATCCACCCATGGGCAAAAGCCACTCCTTAAAGCTAGAGCCAGCAAACTGTGTCCTGCAGGCCAGATCTGGCCTCTAGGCTGCTTGTGTCCAGCTCTTGAGCTAAGAATGGGCTTTATTTTCTCACATGGTTGGGGAAAAAAATCAAAAGAATAATCTTTTCGGACACGTGACAAATGATAAGAAATTCAAATTTTAGTGTCCATAAATAAAGTTTTACATTGGAACACAGCCATGCCCTTTTGTTTACGTATCGTATCGTCTGTGGTTGTTTTTACAATACAATGGCAGGGTGGAGTAGCTGCAACAGAAACCTATGGGCCGCAAAGTCTAAATATTGTTCTCTGGTCCTTTGCAGAAAGAATTTGTTGACCTTCTGCCTTCAGGCATTTATTGGAACAAGTTGAGCACCTGCTGTGGACAAGGCTTGGGGCCGGGCACTGTGGGGAATATTGGGCGAGCGTCTATGCCTCTAGGAGTTAACAGGCTTGAGACCAGAATGAGAAAATAGTGAACAATGCTGATGGTGTGGTGGGGGATGGTAGACGCCGACGCCGCAGAAGGGGCTCCAGGAGGAGATTGGGCAGGACATCAGGACAGTCTTCAGGGCACAAGCAAGTGGGAGCTTGTGAAAGGCAAGTGAGACTTCAGGAGATGTGGGTGGGGCAGATGAGGGAGTGATTTCAGCTGGGGAGAGTGAGTGAGTCCAGCGGCTAGGAGCCAAGACCTCAGCCTGTTTAGGGGTCCTGAGAAGATGGCTTTGAGACTAGAAGCCAGCAAAATGGTGGTATTTTGTATGAAAAAGCAAAATTTGGAAAGCACATAGAAATTAAAATACAGGAGGTAAGGGAGGAGGAGGAGCAGGTACAGAGAGGCAGATGAGGGACGAGTTCAGGGCTCACCCACGAGCTCAGTGAATGGGGACGGGCATGTCCACAGGTGCACCAGGACTCGAGGACCCACAACCGAGAGTGAAGTCAGGACTCGGGGTGGTCTGGGGCAACTCAGCACAGAGATGTGGGTGACATGGTGGGAAGGATAGCTTCTCAGAGAGGGAGTGGAGGAGCAAGCAGAGTGGAAGACAGAGCTTCCAACAAGTCCCACAATTTAGGGGGAGGAAGAGAGGAACACCATGAACCCAAACTCTCCCTTCCAGACCTGCCCCTCGCCCAGCAGTTACAGCCACTTTGTCACCAGGAAGTATGTCAGGCTATGTATGTTTATATATAAAGCCCCAAATAGAGTTTATTTCCTTCCACATAATTCAAGTCCAGAGCTAAACAGTCCAAGCTAGTGTGAGGCTCCATGTTGTTTAGGGGTGGGGTGGTGCTCAGTCCTCTCCTGTCTTTGTTTACTGTCCTGAGCATGTGGCTTCCATCTTCAAGGTGTCTTATGGTTCATAAAGGCCACTGGAAAAGGAATGGCCCTCCCAGCTGAGTTGACTTCCTTCACCCATATTCCCTGGATGTCTGTTTTGGTTACCTCTGTGCTGCTCTAACAAACTATATCACAAATGGGATGGCTTGAAGAAACAGAAGTTTATTCTCTTACAGTTTGGAGGCTTTAAGTCTGAGTTCAAAGTGCCAGGCTCTAGGGGCTGGGTAAAAGCCTGTCAACCTTGGGCTTCAACTCTGCCTCCCGCTTCCAGCCCACTGAAGCTGGAGGCTTTTCTTCACTCAGCTCCTGGCTGCTGAGGCTGACAAGCCCAAGGCTGACAAGAAAAAAGGCACAGTCCCAATGTTACCAAACCACACGGCAGGCCATTAATTCAAGTCCATTGAAAGTCCCAGGATTGGCAGAGCATGGCAGGCTGCTGAACAACGACTCAGCTACACGCAGAGTCCAAGCGTGTCATAAGCTAGAGACCATTCCCAAAGCTGCTGCTTATGTACAGGAAGTGGACCACATCCCTAAAGCAGCTACTCAGCTGCTTGTGGTAGATCCCACCATGGAGTTAATTGCCAGTCTCATCATGGGGAATAACTACCACCAGCTGCCCAGCCACTCAACCAGGCCCAGTCAAGTTGACACACATCCTTAACTACCACAACGTTCAATCCCATAACTTCCTCTAATGTCTCGTTAGCTACCTCTGCCTACACAGAAGACTGGAAGAGCCAGCCTTTTAACCAGGCCCAGCGCCATCTTGAATCACATCAGAGCTCTGTAACTGTGAAGGATGGAGAGAATGGACACAGTGTAGCCACAAAGGAGTGTTTGCAACTTCCACACTAAAAGTCCCATGTGCTTAATGAGGTATTCATCTCATGTGGGTATGACTACAAAGTGATGCTTGACTTTTCCTTAGATGGCCAGAGCCCGTCCATCTGTCCATCTGGCTCAGAGGTCAGCTCAAAGGTCCTTCCCAGGAGCCACCTGGGACTCCCAACCAACATCTGCATCACTATCACCACTTGCATTATCAATATCATAAAAAAAAAAAAAAAACAAAAAAAAAACCTCAAGTTCCTGTTAGTGAGCAATGCTGTACTGGGCCCTTTAACCAAAGTAGCATAATAATGACAGCAATAATAATGGTGATTGTTTCTGCCATTAACTCATGGCTTCTCACACACCAGGCACAGTACTGGGTGCTTTAAATAAGCTTTAAGTAGTTTCATGCTCACAGCAGCTCTGTGAGAGGGCAGGTTCACTTGGCCAGCGTCCCACAGGATTTGAGCCTCCACCTGCCTGACTCCAGAGGCTGCAACCTATATCCTTGCCTACCACTCTTCAGTCTAAGCCACAGAATGGGACAATTAGATAGCAGAGGAAACCCACTCAGCCAACGTGTGCATGAAGAATGAGGAATCTCTATCACATAGACATGAGTCAGTCCATTGGGCTTAGATCTGAAGAATGTTGACCTGGTGGCTGAGGTGCCACTTGGAGGACTATAGAGGACTTTCTGGGCACACAGGGGTGCTTTGGAGAAGAGGAAAGGACTGGGCCTGGGGGACAAAGGATGGAGGGTGGAGAGGTTAGAAGAGGGTGGAGAGAACCCGGTGAAAGAGAGCTGAGGCAAAGAAGATGACTGGAAGGTCCTAGAAAAGGGCTCAGAAACTAAGATGAGCTCTTCACGTTGCCCTCTGACCATCCATCTATCCATCCATCCATCCATCCAACCATCCATCCATACAATCATCCAGTCACCATCCATCCAATCATGCAGTCATCATCCCTCCATCTAATCATCCAGTCATCATCTGTCCATTCATCCATCTATCTATTCATCCATTACCCATCCTTCCATCCAGGCAGAGTAGTTTGAGCTATGACTTACTGTGAGGATCTCCTGAGGTTAACTTAGGTGGGGCTGAGCTGGAGTGGGGAGCCCAGGGTTGCCCCCATAAATGTTTGGCTCCTTCACATCCATGAGAACTGGATCCATAAGTATGGCTCTTATGGTTTGCAGTGTATTTCTGCCAACATTCACTCATGGGATCCTCCCAACGGCTCCAGGAAGAGGCAGGTAGAGTCAATGTCATCTCACCAGTTTATAAATCTAAACTAAAAGGCAAATCCAAGGCTGGAAAGACTAGAAAGAGGTGGAATTGTGTTTTAAACCAGACACTGGATCCTAGGTCTTGTGCTTTCTAGGCTGCAAGCCCCACTTCCCGTTAGGAGACCTTCAGGAAGGAAGTCTTCTGCCAGCCCGGGCCCTGCACTGGTCCACGTGAACGCTTGAGTCTTCTGCTCTGCGTGTTGGTCCTTTTCCTCTGCATTAGATGCTGTGCTCTTGGTGGCATTTTGTTTCCTTCAACCACTTGACTCTGTATATAGTCCATACTCAAGAAGTATTGACCTAAATTTTAAGGTCTTGCCCAACCCTGGGATACTGAGTGAAGTGTCACATGACCAGGGCAGATTGATCTCTGGTGGCCAAGGTGCCACAGAGGAAGAGACAGTTCAGTCCTTGCATGAGGAGGAATCAGATTTCAGTAAGCCAACAGAAGCTACCTTACCAATGCTATGTATGGCGAGGGTGTGGATGCCGGCTGTGGGTCTCTCTCACCCAGGCTTCTGAACGTACAGTTTTCCTGTAGACAACCACAGCTTCCATTTCAAACATGACTCATGCACGGCTTGTTTCTCAGTGCTTGGAGATCTCTCTGTGAAAGGAGTCAAATGACGTCCGGACACGCATCCAAGTGGCCATTTAGCAGTAGGCACTGGGCCTGCCCTGAGTGGATTCCTTCTCAAAGGAAGGAGGGAAGGAGTTGGATCACCAAGTGTTTTTTCAGGTGTATGTTTGTCATTAATGAGGAACTATTATCGGGGATTAATTTCTCCGGTAAGGAAAGACAGAGCAGCAGGTCCCAGTGTGGCTGAGCCAGCTCGGGACGTAACAGCCTTGTGTTCGGGAGCTCTAGCAGATTAAAAGGCAGCTTCTCTCACCCAGGAGCCAACACACATCGGCTGCCTGGTGTGGGGCTCAGTTGTGTTGGGTGGGGTGGGTGAGTTCCCTTTGGGACCATTTCATCCCTCTGGGCTCCACACAGGGTGATTCTGGGCTCTGAAAACATTGCTCCCTGAGCTCCTCCTGAGGTCAATAGGCGGGGTGGGGAGAGGCAGTCATTCTGAGGGGCTCACTGTGTGTGTTCCAGAGTCTCCCCTGCAGACCCCCGCCGATGACGGATCTGAGGAACCCGGCTCTGAAGCCTCTGCTAAGAGCACCCCGACGGCCGAAGGTGGGGCCTCCCTCCTCTCATTGCTTCATCCGCACAGTCCCTCCGCACTCCAGCCTGTGCTCAGCTGTGCTTTGAGCCCGTACGCGCCACCCTTCCTGGCTGCATTTGCTGCTACCTCCTGCTCCAGCCAAGGGATGTGCTTGTTCTGCTTTGCAGGCCAGGGGGCCAGGCCCCAGACTTTTGCAAGAACCCAGCCCAGCTTTCATGCTCTGCTTGCTGGTGCCAGGTGTGGCACCCTCCTCTAGATTTGTGCTTTGGAGGCAGCCACCGTTGGAGAGGCTGGGCTTGGTGGCAGAACAGACCCCAAGCACAGTTCCACAAAGCCCCCTCTTCCATATTGATTGTCCTTCCAAAACTCCTTTACAAGCCCCCAGCTTGCTCTTCCGTCATTTTGGCTGAGGGCAGGGGCAGGTCAGTGCATGTGTCTGAGCCTACACTCCCAGGACAGCTCTTGGTTTGATAGCCTTAGTTTCTTGTGCTCTGAACTTGACCTGGGCCTCTGGACTTTGACTGTGGCTCTCATGGCCAGCCGTGGCTGCAAGGGAGGTTGAGACATAGAGCGTTTTGCTTTTCAATCTCTTCAGTAGAAGAAATCAAGGGAGAAGGGGGTTGAAAACAGCTTTTGAGTAACCAGGCTGCTGTATCTGCCCCTCCATCTCTCTGTCCTTCCAAGAAGGTTCAAGGTTCCATTCTCAGCACGTCTCCAGGCCCTGCCCATTACTTTGGTGAGAACCTGGCCCCAGCATTTCCCCAAGCTTCCACCTTGGGATTAATTCAGAAAGTGACTGGCAGGTTGCTCAGTATGATGGTGCATCCCCAAGGTTCTTAGCTTGGCAAGGAGAACATCCCAATTCTCTTTGCTCTCCTTGGAGCAGGTGACATAAGATATTTCCTGCTGATCATGTTAGGGCAGTTTTGCAAGTTGCCTGTTCTGAGAAAGTTCTGAAACCCTGATTTCAGATCTTATGCCAGCCTCCCTAATTAGGGTTTTCAGTGCTGCTATCAGCATTATTCTGGAGAAAGAATCTTCCAACCACATCTTACTGCACTCTGGACCACAGACATTCAAGAGCCTTGGCTCCCACCCGACAGGGAGGGGCCCCACTGGGGCTGGGCACTGCCCGGCTGCTCCATCTGCACCCGAGACGACCACAATGAAAGTGAACTTCACTTAACACAACTGACTTGGGCTCTTGGAAAGCTGTTGAAGCTGACAACTTCTGTATCTGCCAGGAACGCCCTGGGAGCGTGCCAGGGCATTGCTGGGGGAGGAAAGTTGATGCAGAAGGGTTTGCTTTAGTGAGGAGAGATGGCAGTTCCTGGTGGGAGACCTTCACCTTCTTGCCTCCACTGTGAAGGTGGACTCATCCATGGGCCTGGTGCCAAGGGTCCGGCTCTGGACAGGACTGGGTCTCTTCATTGCCACACAAGGGACTCTGTGGTTCTGATCCATGGGTCATGGGTTCAGGGTGGGATGGGTCAGAGCTGGAAGAAACCTTGACTGTCACCTGGAGGTGACACTTCCATGTTGCAGATGGGGAAACTGAGGCCCGGAGAGGCCAAAGGACCTGTCCAAAGCCTCACAACAAAGCCATAGACTCCCAACCCTAACCTGACTTCCCACACTGCCTTAAGGCCAATTCTATCTTCCTGCCCAGCTTTAAAGGGATTCTGGTGGGATAGTGGTTAAAACATTTGGTTGCTAACCAAAAAGTCATTGGTTCGAACCCACCAGCCACTCCTTAGGAGAAAGATGGGGCTGTTTGCATCCACAAGGATTTGTTGTTTGTTGTTATGTGCCATTGAGTCAGACCTGATTCATAGTGACCCCTCCTTGGATTTCCGAGGTGGTATCACTATGGAAGCAGATTGCCCAACCCTCCTTCCGAGGAGTGGCTGGTGGGTTTGAACCGCCAGCCTTCTGGCTAATGGTCAAGTGCCTTAGGCACTACGCTACCAGAGCCCCTTTACAGCCTTGGAAATCCTATGGGGCAGTTCTCTGTCCTATAGGGTCACTATGAGTCAGAATCGACTTGATGGCAGTGGGTGAGTCTGGCTTAAAGTCAAACAGCTGTGTACAGTCAGCTAGTTTTCAGTCTGTCTTCTTTAAACATGCCTGGGACCATCCTCAGCACTCTCTTTGCTGCAGCACTTCCCCAGCCTTCCTGGAGGATGGACTGGGCCTTCGTGAGCTGGTGCCACTCAAGCAGGGTATTCACACACATCCCAGGGAGGTGTCAGGCAGGACAGGCTCCGAGCCCTGCTTCGTGGGGTTGCTTTTTGCATGTGGCTGAGTCACCTCCCTCTTCCCCTCCCACACTGCTTCACACAAGAAGCACAGGTGAGGGGCTTGGCGTGGCTTGTCCCAGCCCTCTAAGGTGATTCTTGACGGTTTCCAGACGTGACAGCGCCCCTAGTGGATGAGAGCGCACCCGGCGAGCAGCCCCACACGGAGATCCCAGAAGGAACCACAGGTGAGGGTGACTCCCCAAGAGAGACCTGTGGGCCCAAGGGCTCCCTGCTGACGGTGGAGGCCCTGCTGGGTGCCCTGGCTGACCTACTTGAGGACAGGGTGTGTGTTTAGATTATCCAAGTCTCCAAGTGAGGCAGGAATGTGGGCGGGACACTAGCTTCTGCAATCTTGGGTTGGGAGGGGCTTGATGCCCTGATGCCCTGTTGGTTCTGTGGCTCGCAGGCCAGCCTCCTGAGGACTTGGGCCTTCTGGATTCTCCTCTCTTCTGGGTCAGCGCACCACCTGTGGAGAGTTCTGGAAGGTTCTCTGAGGAAGGCTGGTGGCAGACCCCGTTGTCTTCACACTTGAGATCAGCCTACCTTCCTGCTCAGGTTCCGCCTCGCCCCAAGGGTCGCCTCCCGGGGCGGGGGCTTTTCCCCCAGGAGCACCTGAGCAGGCCTCAGGGTCCAGATGACTAAGCGTACCTTCTGAGGATCTAAACTGGGAAGTGCCTGAGGAACAGAGACCATGTAGTCTCATATCCATTTCCGGAACCATGTCACCTTTGCAAACATATCTGTACGGAACAGACAGGACAAGAGTGTTCTGTCGACACAGATGATGGAGAATACGTCATATGGGGCACTGGACTTGAGGCCGCCAGATTCCCTCCGGAGCTGCCCAGCCGGGGCCACAGGTGCTGTAGGCAGGCCTTCAGGGAGCGGCCAGCACGGCCTGCTGCCTTCGCCGCGGTTCCCTGTGTGTCCTCTGTGCTGGGCTCACGTAACGTTTCAAGCACTGGCTTGACGCTTCAGAAGGTCCCCAGTAGCTCAGTGAGAAATGTGAAAGAGTCCCGGGCAGAATTTCACCAGCAGCAGAGAGGGGAGGACGTCCCCAGTTAGCCCTCTGTCTTCTCTCCCTAAAGGTGGTGCTCACTGTAGCTGCTGGAAAAGTCTGTGGCATCTCCTAGGCGCCATGTGCTAAGGGGGCCCCCTACAGAGGCCCGAGCAGCACCTCCCAATTCGTTCCAAGCACATTTCTGCTTTGGGAGACAGTAGAGAATGGTGTCTTCTGAGATGGGTGGAGGGGACGTTCTCGAAGCCGGGCAGGGCCTCGTTCCACAGCGTGAAGACTATTTGAAGGCTGTGGAATGGACTGATAGGTGAGATCATGAGGAACTTCATTTTTATCTCCCACTGTCCCATTAAAGGGAACTCTGGGGGCTGCTAACCAGAAGGTTAACGGTTCAAACCCACAAGGCACTCCTTGGAAGGAAGCCCGGACAATCTTTTTCTGTAGTGAAACCCAAGGAGGGGTCGCTGTGAGTCAGAACCAACTCCAGGGCAGTGAGCTTGATTTTTTTTCTTTTTTTTTTCTTCCTGATTTGGTCCCCTCATACTTTATTCTGTGGGAGAAGTTCTTCTCCTGCCCAGGATGAAAACTCTGGCTAATTTTGGACTTTTCGGTGACTCATCAAAAGTACTTTAGTCTCCACAAGTCACAAAACACAGGCTGGACATGCTCATTTGAAGTCCAGTCCCATGTAGCAGGGGACACTCCTGTCTTCACTCAGAGCTCCAGCCACTGCCCTCCAGCTGGAGTGTGTTGGGGGAGGGTAAGGGAGCAGGAAAGCTCTTACTAGATCGGCACTGGGGTGAGCTGGCCTCAGCCTCTCTACAGCTCAGTAGGTGTTTAAAGTTGACTCTCTCCTGGGGACCTTCTTTGAATTCGTCCAGATTCTTCCTCGCACTCTTCACCACCTCCAGTTACCCTCACCTGAAGATCCCTTTGCATTTTATCCAGCAGAAATTGACCCTCTTCTCGGCCCCTGAAGATCTACCCCCAGCCTCAGCACTCCTGACATCTCCTGGCTCCTGTTTGTTGTCCTCTGGGAGGTGATCTAAAGTGCCCCAGGCACTCCCTGACCTGAGCAAATATCAGGTCCTTGGGGAAGGCACAGACCTGGGGCCCCTGACCGATGGCACTGGCCGCCACCCTCTCTCATCCTTTAGTTTTCTTGGGTGGGATTCTTCTATCACCTTGTCAGAAACAAACTCAGACCCAATCTACCCTCAGAGCTGTGCCTCCATGACGGTCACCCCAACTGTGCCCAGCACTGTTGTCAGATGACAGCTCACAGAACTGTCCCCCTTGGGCAGCAGAGTGGGAGTCCAGAGGGTGTGGGTGCCTATGAGCGGGTGGGTGGTGGGCTTCCTGCTGGCCCTCCCGATCCTTGCCACACTTGTCTGTGGCAGCCAGGTTGCTATGTATTTATGAGGTCATGATGTGGCTGTCGAACTCGGAGGATTTTTTTTTTCTTCTCCCAGCTCTCTGTGGGGTTGTGCTGGCCAGTGGTGGTAACTTTGCATTTCTGCTTTAGGTGGTGATAGTGGGTCATCACTGGTGACAGGCCTGGGAGATAAGACTGAAGGCCCTTCTGCAGCCATGGCTCAGAGGTGGTAGCCCTCTCTCTCTGTCACTATCTATCAGGACATCTTGGTTCTTTTGGTGTCATGTGGCCAGTGCATGTCAGTGGGTGACCAACTTGTGTCCTAAACTCTTTCTTTAGGACAACTGTGTTCATTGTCCTATAGCTATATCTGGATTTTCCATGATGCAGGAATTGTCGTTTTAAGTATTAAAGCTTAGTTGTCACGGTACTGTTGTTGGGATCAGTCCTCTTTGGGTGAATAATGACTCCAAACTAGGAGCTCAAGACACCCCAAAAGCTGCTCGCTGATGCTACTGCCCTCCCTCTAACCAGGCAGCATATATTCATTCTGAGCTAATGTGGCTAAAGGGGTTTGTCCATAGATTAGAGAAAAGAACTCAACAGCTTTTAGGCACCTACCATATGCCAGGCACTTTGCTAAACATATTCCCACAAATTATCTTAATAACCCTCACGACCCTCCTGCAAGATGGAGTGGTATCATCATCACTTTGTGGTTCTAGTGAGGAAACATGCTCAGAGAGGTTAAGAAAATGATGGAGCCTTGGTTTGAACCTGGTCTGCTGGGCTTCAAAGCCCACGCGGCATCCTGTCTGTAACTTCCCCGCCTTTCTCAGCGCGCCAGCTGGGCCAGGAGGTGCAGCCATGGCTTGGACACAGCGCTTTATGGCACTGGCTCAGCCGCAAACTGCTTCTTTGACCCCACTCACCCTGTGCATCGTAGCTGACCTTGCCCTTCAGGGCCCTGGACCCACTCTTGACAAGATCTTTCCCACCAGGTCAGAGTCACTTGTAAAGTGTGTGGCTTTTGTGTGTTTTGTTTAGCGAACTTTCTTTATCAACATTCCTAACAGTAGCATCTTCAGAGAAGCCAGAGAGAGAGGCAGGACTTGGGCGCTTTCAAGATGAGCCTCGTGAATATTTTAGGGAAAATACCAGAAGATGCAGAGAGCTCTTCCTAACCAACAATAACTCTCTTTACTTTTACCTTCTTCGTTTGCTGATGCATAAACCAGCTGAGGAAGCCGGCATCGGCGACACCCCCAGCCTGGAAGACCAAGCTGCCGGACACGTGACCCAAGGTCAGTGGGCTGGAATAGCCTGCCACGATGTGGGGCTGGGGAGGAGGGAGCTGGGACCCCTCAACTGGGCTCTGCCCTGCAAAGGGAATTTGGGCCTGCGGCCTAACCCACAGGGTCAAGGCCAGGATTGACTGGGACATCCGTTCTTATTAAAGGTGGCTGTTTAGATAGAGAAAGAGCTCTAGCATTTTCTTTTCCTTACACCATTTCTAAGTCTTCCTCAAGGTGCTTAGTGTCCTGAAAGGAGTCTGGGAGTTGAGAATGAATCTCCAATAGGAAAGCAAATCTGTATGGTGAGGCGTTTCCCTGCGGCTGCCTCTGGCCCATCCCAGGAGCAAGGCCTCAGCCATGCAGCTATTTCTTCTGTGGTAACTTCAAACCTCGTATGATTTTCTTCTCAGGGATCCAAATTGCTGTGTTTGAGACAAGCAACTTTCTGTAATCATTTATCATAAAAATTTCAAGGACCCAATCATAAAAGTCTTGAGACTCCTTCTCTTAGGAGACGGGGGCCTCTGATTTACATACAGGCTGGGTTCACTTTGTATCATTTGCTGGAAAAATGAACTTGAGAGTCGAGTGTATAACGTGGCAGCTTCTGGATTGTGAAAGAGCTGGGAAGATGCTGCTGTTTTCTCCAGAACATGCCGTTGGTGCCATGCTTAGCGCCTCCACTGGTGTGGTCTGGTTTTGGGAAGCGAGCCCTGGTGACACAACGGTTAAGCACTTGGCTGCTAATCAAAAGGTGGATGTTCAGACCCACCCAGCTGCTCTGTGGGACAAAGCCCTGGCCATCTTTCTCCCAAGAAAACCGTACGGGGCAGTCCTGCACTGTCGGGTGGGGTCGCTGTGAGTTGGAACCAACTGATGACACCCAGCAACGAGTGGGCCCGAGGGAGCACCTCACTGAGGGTATTCTGGGGCTTGACTCTGCTTTCCTGTTCCCTAAGGGGTCGCTGCCCCACAGGGGCCTAATGCTTCGCATTTCACTGGCATGGAAAGGTGTGTTTTTGTTCTCAGGCTGACAAAGAGCTTCCAAGAATATTGAAAGGGATAGAAATGTAAAACGGAGGAGCCCATTTTACCCTGTTAAATAACTAGGATACCTACTCCTGCTTCTTCTAGGTCATACTTCTCAGCTTAGGTGAAATTAGAGTGTGAGGAGTCCTGGTGATATGTGGTTAAGTGCCCAGCTGTAACCAAAAGGTTGGTGATTCAAACCCACCAGCCACTCCGTGGGAGAAAGATGGGGTGGGCAGTCTGCTTCTGTGACGATTTGCAGCCTTGGAAACCCTGTGGGGCAGTTCTCCTCCATCCTGTAGGGTCACTCTGATTCGGAATCCACTTGACAGCAATGGGTTTGGGTGGGTGTTTGGTTTTGGAATAAAGTATAACCTCTGGAAATGGTCATTTGTTTCCAGAAAAAGAAATGAGTTTGAGGGTTTTTTTTTTTTTTTTTGACAGGCCTGTATTGCAGGCTGTGTCTAATTAGGCCGAAAGCATAATTCACTCTGCATCAAAAAAGATCAGCTTCTTTTCAGGAAGTTTAACTTGTGTGCCCATTGAATCTTTGAGCTCTCACACAGCATTCTGGAGTCACATAGGTATAAAGATGCACCCAGGGACCACCCGCAGTAGGAGACTGGTGCCACATAAACCAGTGCACGGTGGGTTCTGTCTCTGCTCCCAAGGCCTGTGGCACCGCCTTGATTGGAAATGTTGTTCCAAAGCCAAGTCTGGCTCCTCAAGTGAGACCTCGTGAAAGCCCGACACACTGACGTCTGCGCGACACAGGTTATTTGCCAAAGGCCTGTGGTCTGTCAGAGTTAAGAGGAGACGTGTAAACAAAGGGACAGATTTTAGTTCTCTTCCTTGGTCTTTCCTTCTACAGAAGAAAAACTTTTGGCAGCCCTACTAGTACCTAACATAGGAAAGTGTATTTCAGGATGGAGCGGCAGTATTCTGAGAATAAAATACAGACGTCCCTGGGTGGTGTGAATGGTAACACACTTGGCTAACCAAGAAACTGGAGTTTTGAGTCAACCCAGGGGTGCCTTGGAAGGAAGGCCTCATGATCTGCTTCTCAAAAATCAGTCATTGGAGACCCTGTGTAACTCAGTTCTACTCTGACCCACATGGACCTACTCTGAGTAGGTCTGTTAGTGAAGGGGTGTGGGTTATTCTGTTGGGACTCAGTGGGATGTTTGAAGGGTTGCAAGTTTTTTTTGTTTTTTTTTTAAAGGCATTTATTAGGAAAAATAGAGTGTACTTCTGCCTTTAATCTACAGCCAGATACTTTAAACAAAAAAAACTTTTTACTGTGATTTAGGTGAAAGTTTACAAATTGGTTTTCCATTCAACAATTCATGCCCATTTTGATTCGTGACATTCCTTGCAGTCCCACAATGCAAAGCACTCTTCCCCTTCCTCCCTGTGTTTACCGTTTCCAGTTGTCCCCCTTCCTATCCCTTCCTGCCCTCTGAGCTTTATCCCTGGGCAGAAGCTGCCCTTTCGATCTTGTGTGGTTGGTTGTTCTAAAGACTGTGTTCCTCCCTGGTGTTATTGTTCACTTTATAGGTCTGTCTGCTGTCTTGTTGAAAGTGGAGCCATGGGCATGAGTTCAGTTCCAGGCTTAAAGGGTGCCTAAGGCTCATAGTCCTCAGGATCCCACAAGTCTCTCTCAGACCAGAAAACCTGGTGTTTTTTATTATTTTGAGTTTTGTTCCCTATTGTTCTCCTATTCTATGCTCAACCTCCTTTGGTGATCCCTTTGGTGATCCCTTTCAGAGTGGTTGGCAGTGGTTGCTGGGCACCATCTAGTTCTTCTGGTCTCAGGGTCACAGCCAGATACATAGTTAAAGAGTGATTCACATGAACGACCCAGAAAAAAAAAAAAAAAAGAAAAAGAAATGCAGCTCTCAATCAACTTAGTTTAGTGTGCGTTAAATTATGTGGCTTAATCTAGATTAAAAACATGGTCCAGAAGGACCAGCAATGTCATTATCATTCAGAACCCTTTACAGCCACATGGGGTCCACCTCACCTAATGCATCGTCCATCATTGATGACCTGGATGAATCCAAGTCATGTTTCTGTTGATAGGAATCTATGGTGGGTCTGTTGGTGAAGTAAAGAGTAAATTCCTGATGATTAGCAATATGGATTTCCCAAGACTCCTGGAGCATGGAATTAAGGCAGGGTTTGTTTTATGGGCATCCTCATTTGCCAAAAAGGAAGCAGTGACAGAGAGAAAGGAAAGGGGACCCTTGCTGCACCCAAGCCAGGCTCCATCCGGGAGCCAAAGTCTTCAGGGGGCTCAAATTCCCGCTCCCAAGCTGCTGGAAAGGGGTCGACATTTTTGTTAGCTTTAGCGGTTTGAGCAATGCCAGCTGTGGCTTGTTCTGTGCCAATCAGAGCCTGCCAACAGGCAGAGGAATAACACCATCCCCAGAAGGGGTCTCAGAGGGTACCCGTCCCCCTTTCCCAGGTGAGAAAACTGAGGCCCAGAAAGGACGGGTGCTCACTCTGGTGGCAGACAGACCAAGAGAGCTTTTATTCCAAGCAAATCAAACCAGCCAGGACGAGCCAGCGTGTGTGCTGTAGTTTCTTCATTAGGCGGGCAGGTGATGCTGTCCAGGTTTCCTGTTCTCGTTTCCGTAGTGATGGCCCCTCTCCTAAACGATTAATGTGCCCTTGCTAACCATTTGCTGCCACTGCCTCTTCACACCCAGAGGAGTTGCCAGTTGCCGCCCAGCAGAGGGAGAAGGAGCCTGGAGGGCTGAGAGCCCTGGCCAGGGAGCTCGGCTCTCAGGGCCAGCCTGGACACGGCAGAGAGGCCTCTGGGGTCTCTGTGCTTCCTCAGGGGGAGAAACAACCAGGGGCCCCCGGGCAGGTGGTCTCTCTCCTTTCTCAGCATCATCCCATCTGCCCAACAGCTCCTCCAACAGGAGGCCCTCAGGAGCCCCACCAGGAGTGGGGATGGAAACATGGGGAGTGGACCAAGGAGGGTGTGGCCTGGCGGAAGTCTACCTCCCTTGGAGCTCTCCAGACAGAGCAGGAGAGTGTTCAGGGTGCCCAAGAAGGTGTCCTTGGTGATCCAGGGTGCCGTGGAAGCCAAGCCCCCGACCTAGGCAGCCTGCATCTGACCCAGCAGCTCGCTGCGGACACGCCTGGGGCTTCCATCCTGACGGAGCCCGGGGACACAGCAGGATGCCACAGGGGCCCCGAGCTGCCGAAGCGCCAGCTTTTGGAAGACCCTGCTCCAGAAAGGCCCCCTCTGAAGGACGGCCAGGGCAAAGAGAGGCTGGCGGGCAAGGAGGAGGTGGATGAAGACCGGGACATCGACGAGTCCTCGCCCCAGGCCTCCCCTCCCTCCCAGATCTCCCCACATGCACACATCTCCCAAAGCCTCGCCGAGGCAGGCCCCCAGACAATTTCCAGAGAAGCCACTGGCGTCACTGGTGTCCCAGCTCAGGGTGCCATCTCCCTCCCTGTCGGTTTCCTCCCCGAAGTTTCCACAGACGCCTGGCTCCCAGAGTCCGATATGCCCAGTGCAGGGCCGGCAGAGGCGGAGGGACACGATGCTCCGGCTGAGTTCATGTTCCAAGTAGAAATCACAGCCAATGTGCAGAAGGAACTGGAATGTTCAGAGTTGGATTTGGAAGGGGCCGCCCTTCCGGGGAGCCCTGGAAAGGACCAGGAGACCCGGGGCCCCTATGTGGGGGCAGAGTCTCAAAAGGCCGACCTTCCAGAACCTTCTGAAAAGCAGCCTGCAGCTGGTCTGCCAAGGAGGCCGGTCAGCCGGGTACCTCAACTCAAAGGTCTGTGTCTTGAGCTCCCTCGCACTTCCCTGGGGACCTCTTGTGCCACCCAGGCTGCGGGCACCACCACTGAGCTGCCAGCCCTTCCTTGACTCCCTGCTGCTTCTGAGGTTTCCAGGACAGCGCTATACCCACTGACCACCAGGCGGCGCTGCTGGCTGTCCGCGGCCTCCTCTTCCCTAGGGCTTCCGGCAGCACGCGCTCATTCACGCTTGTCCGCCATTTGCATGCCGCCAGCACCCACCTAGTGCTTTCTGCACGTTCATTTCTCTGGCCATTTGACTTATCCATAGTGATCGGCCTGTCAGCTAACGGGATTGATGGGCTGCACTCCACAGAGGATAACAACGCCCCATTTTTTAGGTCTTATTCATTTCTAGAATCCTCATAGCTCTCCCAAGTGGGCATAATGAGCTCCACTTGGCGGATGAAGGAGCTCTGTTGATGCAGCGGTTAAAGCATTTGACTGCTAACCGAAAGGTTGGCAATTGGAAAACTGAGGCAGTCTGTGTCTGTAAATAGATTTCCCTTGGAATCCCTATGAGGGCAGTTCTACTCTGCCCTGTAAGGTGGCTGTGAGTCAGAATCATCAGTGGCCTCTGGTTTGGTTTGCAGATGAGCAACTGAGATTCAAAAAAATAGCTTGCTGAAGGCCACTGAATAGTAAGTGATGGTGACAGGTTTGAAATCCAGGTAGGTCTGCTTTAAAAGGCACACTCTTTCCTAGTATGCCATGGTGCCTTCTAGAAAGTTCTGACGTGTGCCCTTATAGCACAGACACACAGATGGCACCTGCCCATCTCCTGTAATGTGTCGGATGCTTCTGTGGTGTCAGTGAACATCACACACATTTGCTGCAAGGTGACACACAATCATTTGAAGGTGTCTAAGAGCCCGAGCTGAGCCTTTGGCTGAACAACCCCTGCCTCCCACCCCCACTTCACCCTGCCTGTGGCAGAATAAATGGTAAACAGAAACAGAATCTTGTCCAAAGCACCTCCCTCCTCCCTGTGGCGGAGGCCCAGAGAATCCCTGTGCTGGAGTTGCAGAGGTCTCAGCCCAGGGCCCTTCTCAAGCCCCAAAAGCATGACCCTAGCTTCCCTTCAGAGTCTGGAGAGGTGGGAGAGGAGGTTCCTGAGTGTCAGCATCTGTGTATCCCATCAGAGAGAGGACAGTTTCTAGGAGAGACCTCATAGCCACAGGTCAGGTGCATCCATGCATCTAGGACCTTTAGCTTTGTAGAATTATTTGCACTGCCCAGAAATCAATGCTATTGAGCTCTCAGCTGGAAACATCCGTTAAATGATTAGATTCTGCTTGTCAAGAAAATTGTTGAAACCTATATTTAAAATTTAAGATAGAAAAAAAAATTCTATATTCTATTTCTAAATAGCCTACATTCCAAAATGCTAGGGGACTAGTAACTGCGACTTGACAGTTAACTACAGTGTTTTCTGAAATGATGTTCTATTGAAAACTGGCCCAATAGCTGGGAATAGGAATATCAAAGGGAAAAGGAGGTCCATGGCCCAATAAGTTTGGGCAAAATAAGCTAGACAAACAGGTTTTGCTGCTGCAGGACTTGCCAGAAACTTTAATGTACTCTGGTGGCATAGTGCCTAAGGCATTTGACTGCTAACCACAAGGCTGGCAGCGGTTCAAACCCACCAGCCACTCCTCGGAAGGAAGATTGGACAATCTACTTCCTTAGAGATACCGCCTCAGAAACCCAAGGAGGGGTCACTATGCGCCGGGATTGGCTCAACAGCAGTGAGTGAATGCATGTTGTGACCCTCTGAGAAGGATAGATAGGATGAGTTCCCAAGTTTATTTGAACCCCCACTTGCTAACTTCTGAAGAGGGCTTATTCAGTGGTACCCCAATTTGGGAAACGCTGACCTACTGGATACTTCTGTTGAGACATGGACGATGCTGGTTGATTTGGGCAAAGAAAGGAACATGTGAGCCATATCCACTTGGGTTCTGGTGAAAATGCGGTTCCCTGGGCCCCACCTTAGGTTTCCAGGCTCAGAGGCTCGCGAATCTAGATTTTAGCAACCTCTCTAGATGCTGTTGCTGTGAGGAAAGTTGGAAAACTTCTGGGCCAGATCAGCAGTGCTGGTAACCATCGAAATCCAGACTACAAGAAGCCAGTGAGAAGTGCCAAGGGGCCCCGGTGTCCTTGGGGTAGAGGGAATATGGTATTGAGACCAAGGAAGAAAATCGATAATCAAGTCTCATTGATCAGTGTTAAGGAAGAAAAGAAACGATGCTGGTAGATGAGTTACGTGGGTGGCCTTCACTAAGGTGTATGGCTTAGGAGCCCAGAGCCGTCCATAGTTTACCTCTAAAATCCAGATGTTACTGTAGGATGTTTGATGCTAACTCGTTTGTAGCTGTTGTAGAGGCATGAGATCCAGAGATACTGACAAATAGCAACCATTAGTCCCCTCCAAGGAGCCCTGGTGGCACAGTGGTTAAAAGGTTGGCAGTTTGAACCCACCCAGCATCTCCACAGGAGAAATGATCTGGCAATATGCTTCTGTAAAGACAACCGAGAAAACCCTATGTGGCAGCTGTCCTCTGTCACCTGGAGCTGCTCTGAGTCAGAGTTGACTCAACAGCACCTAACAACAGTGGCCCTCCTCCAAGACCATAGGGTGAGAAGAGCTACCTCGACCAGGAGTCGACCAGGGCTGAGAAGAGCGCATCTGAGACCGGGGCCGGTGACTGAAGCCCCCGTTCATGAGGGGCAGGCTCTGGGGGTGTGACCAGCAACAGGGCATGGAGATGTCTCAGCCAGTTCTGGTGGCAGGTGATCAGCTTGAGAGGAGCCAGGAAGGTGAGCATTAGGACCTCTGGCAAGCTGGCAACATGGGGCAGGGGACTCAGAGGTGGCTCCAGTCAGTCCCCCAGAGGCCTAAAGGGTTAGCAGGACCCTCTCAGAAAACTCAGCCACAGGGTGGAGAGGATGTCAGTCACCCTGATCCTTGGACAACAGCATGAGCAGAGGGGAGCCTGCCAGAAGGCTAGAGCCTGGCCGAGCTGTGCCAGCTTCCTCAATGCCCTTCCTTGGAGTAGGGTGGTCTCCAGCTGGGTAGGCAACCCTGGCAGAAGCAGGTAGTGAAGACTGCAGTGTGAGGCTGGCCTCACCTTCCCCAGACAGCCCCTGTGCCCACGTGGGTCTCAAACAGTTTCTGCTGTGTCCTTTCTGCATGTCATTCCCCACCCCCCCAGCCAGCCAGCTGTCCCCTCTCACTAGGTTGCTCTGAGCAATGACCCCAGCTTGCTGTGTTGATACTGACAATGTGAGAACTAACAGATGCGAAGGGAAAGAAAACCAACCAGGTTTCTAGCAAGCCCAAGAGCAAACAAAAGAAAACATGTTGTACCGATCTCGGAGAAACCCTCCTTGACCACCTGTGGCCTCTGGCTCTGTGTGGAGACCGTGCCAGTGGGCCATAACACACATTCTTGTTTTGTATTTTATCAGCTCGCATGGTCAGTAAAAGCAAGGATGGGACTGGAAACGATGACAAAAGAACAAAGGTAAGCTGCCAAAGACTTGAAACCCTCTGCTGCTGCTTGAGGTACCGCAAAGCCATCTGATGCTTTGACATCTGAGTTCATTCTCACTTATAATATGTGTGGAGTGGCTGTCACAAAAGTACAACTGTCATTTTAAAGTAATGAGACTTTTTGTAGTCAGTGCAAGTACTGTCTGGATTTGGCCCATCTTATACTTGCAGCTGTAGACTTAGGCTCAGTAAATATGTATACATGTGATAGACAGAAGATAGCATTCAATCACAGGGCTGAGGAAGTTTAGAGTGAAGAAGTTGTCTTCAAATTAAGGCAGATGGTTCTCAAAGAGCCTTTAGAGAGAACGAGCTATGGGGAGTATCAGTGAGAGTTGGAGAGGCAGGTGGGAAAAGGTACTCACTGCAGGGAGGAGGATCACACAGCAAGGACCTGGGAGCACGAATGGTCAACACACGCTCTAGAAGCATAAGCAGATTGGCTGGTTTGACGAGGAGCCCCATTTGGGGCTGACGCGAGATTAGAAAGATATTGGAGGACAGAAAGCTTGACAGACAGCTTCATACTAAGTTGGGAAATGTGGCCATTCGCACTGCCTTGAAACTGTGCCAAAGAGGCGACTGGCATATGTGCTCGTCAGTCTTCTGAACCCAACCAGGGATCAGTGAACGAGGCAGCCTGCTGGCCCCAAAACCACGCCCAGAGCCAGGCCCCTCCTCAGCATTAATTTCTGGGGTAGTTTGTTCTTTAACGATTTTGAATCCTGGAAAATGCTCCTGTAGTTCTCCCAGGAAAATCATGCCATGGCTCTAAATGAAGACCCATTTGTCTTGAGGAGACCTGGAATTTTTCAACATAAATTCTGCCTGAAGCATCCGATTTAACCAATGCTGGAGCCCTGATTAACTCTCCAAGGCAGAGTGTAGCTTTGTAGGTTGGGCATCGTGTGTTGAGTGAGGACCACTAACTAAAGTGGCCTGTTCTGTATGAAGTCAGGGTCTGCTACCCCAAAGAGCATGGGGAGGCAGCTGAGGGCCCTGCAGGGACTTGGAGAGCTCCGCCCTGGCTGCTTCGGGCAGTGGCAGTAGCTTCTTATCAGTCAGGATGCACCCTTAGTGCTGGTTGGGAGGGAATACCTGCCTCCCTCATTCAGTACACACAGGCCAGGGGCCTACTGGGCGCTGTCCTGGAGTTGCTCACGGCCTGGTAAAGGGTCGGCTTTATCACAAACTGCCACTCCCCCACCTCTCAGCTCTTCTTCCTTGTCACCAGCCCCAGAGCCGCGGGCTGCATCTCTCCCCTCTCACTACTGCCCTATCCCTCGAGTTCTCCTCACCACGGCTGGCCGCAGAGAGGGCCTTGGCCACTGCAACCAGGAACCCAAGGGGTGGCAAGGAAACACATGTGAGCAGCCCAGTGAAGTTTCCAGTCTGGAAGTTTCTCAGACTGAGCTTGTCTGCTTTTATTCCTAAAGGCATGGCCCTGCCCCATCCAGCCCACTGTCCTCTATGAGGCCATGTTTTCCATCAAAGTCCCCCAGGAGCAGTTAGTTCAAACCATAGGTGTCAGCCACCATCCATCAACTGTCCTCCTACAAGCAGGCAGCACCCTCCCTGAGGGCGTCCAGCCTGGTGACCACCTGCCCCACCCTGGCTATTTCCTTGTATGGAACATGCTCAAGAATTAACATTGGCCAGTTTAGGATTTGACAGATAGTATTAAGATTAGTTTTATTTGAGACTTGGGAGCTCTGGTGGCATGGTGCCTAAGGCATTTGACTGCTAACCAGAAGGCTGGAGGTTCAAACCCACCAGCCACTCTTTGGAAGGAAGGTTGGACAATCTACTTCTGTAGTGATACTGCCTTGGAAACCCAAGGAGGGGTCACTGTGAATTGGATCTGACTCGATGGCAGTGAGTTGTTTTTTTTTTTAATCAGAAGGAAAGCACGTGTGTGTGTGTGTGTGTGTGTGTGTGCGTGAGAGAGAGAGAGAGAGAGAAAGAGAGAAACCTAAGTGGTATCAGACAGAATCTTTAAGGTGGAACAGGCACAATCGTGAGTTTAGCGATTCTGTCACTGTAGTGGAAGATGGCCGAAGGTTAGCAGGCGAGCTTGAGCTGTCCTTACCTGGCTTTGAGCAGAAATTGTGCCTTCGTGATCTCCATCAACTTGCTGGGTGTGGACCACCTTTAAACAAATGATCTCTGACGTAGAGGGCACAAGACGGCCCAATGTGCTAGACAAAGAACATACTAGAACTTGAGCCATTATTCATCTTCTCCTCCTAAAAGTCCTATCATGTTGAAGTTTTATGGTGGACATGATAGTGTGTGTATGTAACTGGTAAATACCTACAGGTACAGTAGGGTCACTTGTTCTTACTGATGAGGGTACATGATCAAACAGTGTGAAGATCACTGCTCTAAACCATTACCTGCCTTATTTATTTTTAGTCACTGTCCTTTTTCAGTTTGTTTTCCTCCCCCATGTGCTGACTTTTATTTTGATTTTATTTATGTTTATGTTTAAGACATCCACACCTTCCTCTGCTAGAACCCTGAAAAATAGGCCTTGCCTTAGCCCCAAACGCCCCACTCCTGGTAGCTCAGACCCTTTGATCAAACCCTCCAGCCCTGCCGTGTGCCCAGAGCCATCTTCCTCTCCTAAACACGTCTCATCTGTCACACCCCGAACTGGCAGTTCTGGAGCAAAGGAGATGAAAGTCAAGGTAAGGACACCACCTTTGAAAAGAATCAGGCCGCTCTCACGTGGTTTTCAAATGTCTGTTATTTTAGCCACAAAGACCTTTCTTCAGATAAGCTCTTCCATAGGAGCGCCATGTAGAATAGTTAATTTCTGGTTGAAGAGGGACAAGGGAGCTGAGAGCCACACATCTCAGCTCCCCTTAGCCCCTCGTAGCAGCAGCCCTGAAGGCACCCTAGGGAACCCTGGTTTGAAAATGGCCATCCACTCTAATTGGATCCCTCTGGCCATCCCTGACCATGTAACTGGAAACACTTCCAGATTGCCTTCATTTGGGTTGGACAGGCTCACTGGGCCTCAACACCTGCCCCCCCCCCCCCAGTTCATGCCCTCCTGAACCATCTCGTGGTCCTTGGTTAATGTCAGTTTGCTTTTGAGTTTGTGTTATGTCTAAAGGTCATTTACCTGGTAACCAAACCCAGCAAGTGGCCGTGACCACTCTCAACCTTTGGTCAGTTTGTTACCTGATGGCTGGTGTTCACCTGCCAAGGGCTCTCAGCATACCTAAAGTCTTATTGAAACCTCAGGGTTGCTAAGAGGAGAACAGAAGAATATGACCTAGCTCTGTGTAGCACTCTTGGTCAAGTTCAACAGTGTCTTCATAGACCAAAAGCCTCTGGGGAAACCAACTGCCAGTCACATAAATCCATAATTAGAGTCAGAAAGTGGATGCCCACTTAGGGATAGCCCACTGATGTCCCGCTCACTGATCAACACTGAGTGGATAATGAACCAGATCATTTTGATAAGCCTTATTGCCTTTTTATAAAATACATTAGCACAACTCATGCTTATAACTAATATAAACCGTTGCTCTAGGGGTAGGTAGTTCATGACCAGGGCACTTGGTGTTTGGGTGGGGCTGTGGGTTTGTGTGCCAAGCAAACCCTCGTGGTGGTAGAAGACACTTGTTCCATCCAATAGGTAGGCAAAGTTATTCCCAATCCTAGCCTCCTTTTGAATCAAAGCAAGAGAGTGGGGCTGGCATTGACTTTAGGCGACAGTAAGAGTTCCACTTCGTAAAAACCACTGTACCGTGATTCGGTTTACAGGGGGCAGATAAGACTGGAACGAAGATCGCCACTCCCCGGGGAGCTGCCCCTCCAGGCCAGAAAGGCCCAGCCAATGCCACCAGGATTCCTGCGAAAACCACGCCTTCCCCAAAGACACCACCCGGCACTGGTAAGAAGAAGGTTCTGTTGAATCCAACCCAGAGAAAGCTCTCAGTAGGTACACCCCCAACTCTGAAAACCCCTCACCAGAGTCAGTTCTGACTTCTGGCGACCCCATAAGTTACAGAGTAGAGCTGCTGCATAGGGTTTTCTTGGTTGTAATCTTTACGGGAGCAAATCCCCCAATCGCCCATAGCCTTTCTTCCACAGACTCGCTAGGTGGGTTCGAACCACCAACCTTCAGGCTAGTAGTTGATCATAAAGTGTCTGCACTGCCCAAGGACCTATTCCACCACTGACTGAAAAAAAAACTCACTGCTTTCAAGTCGGATCCAACTCAAAGCGACCCCTCCTTGGGTTTCCAGGCAGTATCACTACGAAAGTAGATTGCCCAGTCTTCCTTCTGAAGAATGGCTGGTGGGTTTGAACCACCAGCCTTCTGATTAGCAGTCAAATGCCTTAGGCACTACCCCACCAGAGCTCCCATTCCACCACTGAAGGCCTCTAAAAATTAATAGCCCCTGGTAGCTTGTCAGCACCTTGCAGTTTACTAAGCACTGTGCGTTGGTTTTCTTTTGAATCCTTTTGACAATTTTCTGCGGTAGAAATTGAACCCTACTTTTTATCAATAAAGAAATCTAGGCTCTGAGAGTTTTCGTGACTAGATCTAACCAGCTTATTTTATGCATGCAGAAAATGCAGTCATATGACCCATAAGTAGGAAAGGGGCTTCTCCCAGCTTCTTTGACGCCAAGTCAGGGCCTCTGGGAGGCAGCCCCAGTGTGAGGTGCTTTTAAGGCCTCAAGTGAGATGTGTGGCTACTGTCAATGGCAACAGCACAGCAGCCTGGGTAGGTCACTATAGATGACGTCACACAGGGTGCGGCCACTGGGCAGCTGGGAATGTTAGGAATCCTCTACAGAACCTCCTGGTCTTAGCTGAGTGGCTACACCTTGTGCCCCTTCCCCTGAGCTGCTGTGAGTAGAAGCCTGCCATTCTGAGTACCAGTCAGGGTGTCAGTCTAAGTGGTGCTAGTGGGGATAACTCACTGCCATCAAGTCGATTCTGACTCAAAGCGACCCCCAGTGGGTTTCCAAGGCTGTACATCCTTATGGAAGCAGACTACCTCATCTTTCTTCTGTGGAGTGGCTGGTTGGTTCGAACCACCAATCTTTTAGTTAATAGCCAAATGCCTTAACCAGTATACCACCAGAGCTCCTTTGCTAATAGGATACCAACCAGCCAACCGATTGTCATTGAGTTGATTCTGACTCATGGCGACCCCATGTGTGTCAGAGTAGAACTGTGTTCCACAGGGTTGTCAATGGCTGACTTCTTGCAAGTAGATCAGTAGTCCTTTCTTCTGAGGCATCTGAGTGAATTTGAACCCTGAAGAAAGGTTGGAACCTTTTGTTTAGCTGAGCACTTTGACCGTCTGTACCAACTGAGGCCCAGTCACCCTCTGAGGATTAGGGACAGCCAGGCTGAGCATATTCCAGCAACCCATCTGAGCAACTGGTTTTAGATTCTGCCTGACCCAGGGGTGTCTGGTCTGCACCAGCTCCATGAAGATGCTCAGGAGGCCTGGAGCCCGGGTGCAGGTTGTGGTGGAGACCAGGCCTGTCCCATAGGGTTTCTGCTTCTCCTTGGCCTGTGGTGGCCACTCAGAGCCCTTGACCTGCTGTGTGGTTTTGCCATGGTGTTTGGCCCACGGATGTGGTAGGGTAGTTGTGGAATTTGCAAGGACAGCTGCCCATGAAGGCCCATGGGTTTGGATTTCTTTTCCAGCATTTTCTCTCATATATCTAACACATGCCACACAGGGGTAATTAACAGGATTGCGATTGGGTTTTATTTATAATTTTGCTTCTGTTTTTTCCCTCTGGACTCACACTTCCCCCCTTGAAACAAGGATGGCAGTTCTTTCCTTTTATTGTTTTAATTTTACTATGGTAAAATATATATAAGAAGACATTTGCCCTTTCAAATGTTTTTTCACACACAGCAGTGACATTAACTATATTCACCATGTTGTCCAGCCATCACCAACAGCTGTTTCCAGTGGTTTATTTCTCGCCCTTAACTCAAACTCAGTGCTACTTCCCCCCTGCCCCTGGTAACCGCTAATAAACTTTGGTCTCCGTTCAGTTGCCTGTCTAGGTATTTCCTAGCCACGGGATCATACTACTTGTCCCCTTGTGTCTGACTTTCTTCACTCAGCATAATGTTCTCAAAGTTCCTCCAGGTTGCAGTGAGTAGCTGAACTTCTTTCTCTCTGTGGCTGAATACCATCCCATGGCATGGATGGGCCACCTTGTGTGTGTATTGAGTCACCTGTTGATGGGCACTTGGCTGGTTCCTCCTCCTGGCAGTTGTGGTCTTACCTGCTCCCGGCTGGCAGCCAGCTGGAGGGTCTCCCCTCACCCACCTTGTTTCTCCTCAGAATGGCCCCACTCCCTGCTCCTGCTCCCTGCCTCACTCACCGATGTGTGAGTGGCCGTGGGTGGCTGGGCACCAGGGCGGGAGGAAGACCTCACCGAGGCCCAGCGTCAGCTTGATTATAATGAGGCTTTCTGTGGACTTTTTCTTTTTAAGCTACCAAGAAAGTACAGAGAAAACCTCCCCCTGCAGGGGAGAGATCTGAGAGAGGTAATTGTGAGTGTGCTTCTCGCCGACAAGGCCCCTTTGCAGGGAAAGTCTCTTGGCGGGGTGGCTGCTTGGGGGCTTCTGTCTTCTGAGCTGGGCGTGCCTGCTTCTGAAATGGCTTCACACACTGAGCCTGAAGAGGGAACACTCAGAGCTCCTGTTCTCTTGGTGTGGTTTGTGCAGACATTTGTTGGACGGTCCTTTCTAATCCCAATGCGCTCATTTACTCTGGGGACAAGGGCATGGCCGAGGGCTGTTGGGCTAGGGGTGGGGAGGCAGCATGTGCCTGAGATGGTTGTGAGTGGTGGTTTGGACTGTCTCTAACCAAGGTTTAGGCGTGTGTCTTAGTTTCCTGCGGCTGCCGTAACAAAGCACTACAAAGCAGGTGGCTTCAAATGGCATTGTCTCATAGTTCTGGAGGCCTGGAATCTGAATTCAGGGGGTTGGCAGGGCCGTGGTCTCTCCAAAGGCTCTAGGAGAAGAGTCTTTCTCATCTCCCAGCTTCTGGTGGCTCAGATATTCCCTGTTGGGCGGCTACGGCGTAACTGCATCTCTGCCTGTGTCTTCCTTCCACCTCTGTGTCTCACTCTTTTAGAGGACACCACTCAGACTGCATTGGGTTCACCCCACTCCGGCATGACCTCATGTTAGCTGCTAGCATCTTCAAAGGCCCTCTTCCCAAACAATGTCATGTGCTCAAGTACGAGGGGTTAAGACTTCAACATATCTTTTTTGGGGACACACTCCAATGTGTGACAGCATGAAATCCCCACTGGTGTTGATTAAACTCCCACCCTGTGAGTGACAGATGCTGTGTTGGATGCTTTCCCTCTTACTGTATCCATTCTTCAAAACATAACCCTGCGGGGTACACTCGCTCTCCCCATTTTCCAGAGGAGAAGACAGGCTTAGGGAAGTTAAGTGACTCGCACATGGTCACTCCTTGGTTAAGTGGCACAGAAAGGGTTTGAAGGCACCCCAGAGCCCACAGGCCATGCTGCATCCCTTGGGGCAGGACGGCAAAAGGCGGGAGAGCTTCGGGGGCAGAGAGAAGGCTGAGCCTGGGCAGCGGGAGCCCGTCTGTGGTTTCCGCGTGTGGAAAAGGAGAACGTTCTTTGTATGTGCCCTCACCACGGGGCTTGACTACGTTAGGGATCCAGTAGGCATGGACGTGCAAACATTCAAAACCACGATCTTAGTCTTCACTCGACAAGAGCCATCATTAGTTCATTGCATAAAGAGTTGCCCCGCTCCAGATTGGAGCCAGTGGGCCCCTGTTTGTCACAGATGGTTCCTGGGGCTGGGGCGTGGGCGCTGGTGCCGGAAGCTGAGAAGCAGCAGTCCTCTCAGCTGCACAGGTTCCCAGAGCTGGCCCAGCACCAAGTCCAGGGTTCTGACTTGCCTGTGCTCCCGAATCCCTGGGAGCTTGGAGAAAACCAGTTGTGTAGGCCCCGCCCTGCGAGATTCTGCTGTAGCAGGTTTGGATGGGGCCTGGGATCTGCATCTCACAAGCCCCACTCCCCCTGAGATTGATGCTGGGGTCCGTGAGCCACAGCTTGGGAACCAGTGATCCCATGAGTCACACAAGCACCAGTAGTGACTGACAAGGGAGCACGGCAAGGCAGAATAGAGGTGCGGCTAGGGGCAAAGGGTGCCCAGAGGAGGGCAGGACTGTTGGGGAGAGGAGAGACCCAGCAGCCTTCCTGGGGTGGTGGCGCCTGCACTGTGCTTGGAAGGGTGTGTTGGTATTTGTCTGCACTGGCATGGAGGAAGGAAGTGTTGGGGGAAGGGCAGTAGGCCAGGAGCCAATGGCATGAAGCGGCTTGGCCTGTCTGGAGAGCTAAGGACAGTCACGCATGGACTGAGTACACCACTCCAGACCAGGCACTGAAGGGGAGTCGGGGAGGCTGGTCAGGGGTCTGGTGGGAAAGGGGCTTTGAATTTGCTGAACAGCTGAAATGCCCGTGTGGGTAAGCTATCCAGTGATGGAGAGGAGAGGGTGGCAATGGGGACCTTTGTTTTATCATCAGCATTCAGGGTAAAGGCCACGAGAGTGGCACTAGTTCTGCACTGTCAGCACCTGCTGTCCCTCACCACTGAGAGATAATCACTTCCATTTTGAGATGAGGCCTCTGAGCTCAGGGGAGGTGACTTTCCTGAGACCCCAGAGCTAGTTCCAGGCTTCTCGGATCCCAGGGCCAAGGGTTGGAGTTGGTCCGGTCTGTGGGAGGGGGTGTTGGGTGGTCCCTGATGAGCACGCTGTTGCTTTCCTGGTAAAGGAGGTGTCTCTGTTGCTAAGCAACAAGGGAAGGAGGAGATTGCTCGTGTCTAGAAATGGGCTCCAGGGCTCTTCTAGGGTTGTTCCAGCCCTGAGTCCCGACACTGGCTCACAGCACAGCGGCCCAAGGCCTTTTCTAGCCAACGCCTCCTCCCCAAATCCTGGCCTCACCTCCTTCCTTCCTTCCTTCCCAGGGGAATCCGGGAAATCTGGGGACCGCAGTGGCTACAGCAGCCCAGGCTCTCCGGGGACTCCTGGCAGTCGCTCTCGCACCCCGTCCCTGCCAACCCCGCCCACCCGGGAGCCCAAGAAGGTGGCAGTGGTCCGCACCCCACCCAAGTCACCATCCTCAGCCAAGAGCCGCCTGCAGACGGCCCCTGTGCCCATGCCGGACCTGAAGAACGTCAGGTCCAAGATTGGCTCCACCGAAAACCTGAAACATCAGCCCGGAGGCGGAAAGGTAAGGGCGAGTGGAGGGAGGCTGTGTGTGTGTGTGTGTGTGTGTGTGTGTGTGTGTGTGACTTGAGGCAGGGAGAGGGGCTGGAACCTTCCCACGAGGCCCCTCCCACCTGGGGCCTAGGTGGATGAGTGCCTCAACTCCCACTACCTGCCTGGCTCAGCTCCAAAGGGGTCCTCATCATGCACCTCTTCAAAGACGGAGAATCAGGTTATGGCTCAATTCTTTGGCAGGATCACCACCGAGCCACGAGTGCCACCTCAGTGGGGAGGAAGTACCAGTTTTTTCCTTCCTCACTTCAGCCCTGCTGGTGGACAGTATCAGAAATTACAGGGTTGTATGTCCATGATCTGGGAGTTCTCAAAGTGGGGCACCCACAGGGGTTCAAACCTGTCTCAGCCTAGAGTTGGACAGCTCTGGTTTTCTTTGGCTATTCACTCAGATTCTATTTCTCTTTGATCTTCAATTCCGGGGAGATTAGAGGATTCTGTTTAGGACAGCTGGTTTTTCTGCAAGCAGTGGGTGCTCATGGAATCATTGGCTTATTCAGGTGGGGAAACACCATCTGCTGGTCTGAGGTGGAGGGGCGCTGGCCCAGACCCCCTTTCTCTTCCTCTTGTTCTCAGTCTCCCTCCTTCACCCAGCACCAGGGGGAGAGATGCAGAAGAGGAGGCGGCATGGGGGCCTGGTTCTGAGGGGACACCAACGTCCGCGGTCTGAAATTGACCAAATGTGCAATTAAAATGTATTGATGATTATTAGCGATTGGAATGCAAAAGTTGGAAACAGTGAAGACGCATCAGTAGTTGGAAAATAATGGCCTTGGTGGTAGAAATGAGGCCAGAGATTACATGATAGAATTTTGCAAGACAACTACTTATCATTGCAAATACTTGTTTTTCAACAAAATAAACAAGGAACTTTGGTAGCATAGTGCCTAAGGCATTTGACTGCTAACCAGAAGGTTGAAGGTTCAAGCCCACCAACCACTCCACAGAAGGAAGACTGAGCAATCTATTTCCATTAAAGATTTACTGGCTCGGAAACCCCAAGGGTGTCACTATGATTCAAAATCAACTCGATGGCAGTGATTTGGTTTTTTTTTTTTTTTTTTTTTTTTGATACACGTGGACCTCTCTAGATGGAACACACAGAAATTATATCGAGTATATTTGTGGAGGCACTCTGGTAGCACAGTGCCTAAGGCATCTGACTACTAACCAGAAAATTGGTGGTTCAAACCGTGAAAGCAAGACTGGGCAATCTACTTCTACAAACATTTACCACCTCAGAAACCCAATGGAGGTTACTATGAGTCGGAATCGACTCGATGGCAGTGGGTTTGGTTTTGTATTTTTTTTATATATAGCTGTGGAAAGAGACAATGGAGAAGGTCAGTGTCATCAGTCAAAACAAGGCAAGGAGCTGACTGTGGAACAGGCCATCAATTGCTCATATGCAAGCTGAAGCTGAAGCTAAAGAAAATTAAAAATAAGTCCACGAGAGCCAAAAATCAACCTTGATTATATCCCACTTGAATTTAGAGACCATCTGAAGAATAGAGTTGACACATTGAACATGAGTAACTGAAGACCAGACAAGTTGTGGGATGACATTAAAAACATCATCCATGAAGAAAGCAAAAGGTCACCAAAAAGACAGAAAAGGAAGAAAAGACCAAAATGGATGTCAGAAGAGACTCTGAAACTTGCTCTTGAACATAGAGTAGCTAAAGTGAATGAAGAAATGTTGAAATTAAAAGAGCTGAACAGAAGTTTTCAAAGGGCAGGTAAGGAAGACAAAGTAAAATATTATAATTAAATATGCAAAGACCTGGAGTTAGAAAGTCAAAAGGGAAGAGCACACTCAGCATTTCTCAAGCTGAAAGAACAAGAAAAAACTCAAGCCTTGAGTTGCAATATCGAAAGACTCTATGGGTGGTTCGGAAACACCAGTTTCTGATGGCCTGAGATGAAGGGAGCACTGGGCTGGACCCCCTGAATGATGCAAAAACCAAAACCAAACTCATAGCCATTGAGTTGGATCCAATTCATAGTGACCTCTCCTTGGGTTTCTGAGGCGGTATCACTACAGAAGTAGATTGCCCAACCTTCCTTCGGAGGAGTGGCTGGTGGATTTGAATCACCAGCCTTCTGGCTAGCAGTCAAATGCCTTAAGCACTACACCACCAGAGAAGGTGGAAGGAATACACAGAATCACTGTATCAAAAAGAATTGGCTGATGTCAGGAGATAGCATACAATCAAGAACCAATAATATGGAAGGAAGATGTCAAGCCTGCACTGAAGGAATTGGCAAAAACAAGACTCCAGGAATTGACTGAATACCCATTAAGATGTTTCAACAAATGGATACAGCACTGGAGGAACTTGCCAAGAAATGTGGAAGACAGCTACCTGGCCAATTGACTGGAAGAGACTGGTGTTTGTGCCCACTCCAAAGAAAGGTGATTCAACAGAATGTGGAAATTATCGAACAGTATCATCAATATTACACAAGTGAAGTCTTGCTGGAGATAATTTAAAAATGGCTGCAGCAGTGTATTGACAGGGACGTGCCAGAAATGCAAGCTGGATTCAGAAGAGGACGTGGAATGGGGGCTATCATTGCTGATGTCAGAGGGATCTTAGCTGATAGCAAAGAACACCAGAAAGATGTCTACCTTATTGACTATGCAAAGGCATTTGACTGTGTGGATCATAACAACTTATAGACAACATTGCGAAGAATGGAAATACCAGAACACTTAATTTTGCTCATGAGAAACCTGTACGTAGACCAAGAAGCTCATTCAAACAAAACAAGGGGATACTGCATGGCTGAAAATCAGGAAGAGTGTGCATCGGTGTTGTATCCTTTCATCATACTTATTCAATCTGTATATTGAACAAATAATCCAAGAAGCTGGACTATATGAAGAATCCAGCATCAGGATTGGAAGACGACTCATTAACAACCTGTGATATGCAGACAGCACAACCTTGCTTGCTAAAAGTGAAGACAACTTGAAGCACTTACTGATGAAGATCAAAAACTACAGCTGTCAGTATGGATTATACCTCAACATAAAGAAAATGAAAATTTTCAGAATGGGACCTATAAGCAACATCATGATAAATGGAGACGAGTGAAGCTGTCAGGGATTTCATTTTCCTTAGATCCACAGTCAACACTCATGGAAACAGCAGTCAGGAAATCAGACGTCGTATGGCAGTGGGCAAGTCTGCTGCAAAAGATTAAGAAGCAAAAATGTCACTGTGAAGACTAAGGTGTGCCTGACTCAAGCCATGGTATCATATGTATGTAAAAGCTGGACAGTGAATAAGGAAGACTGAGGAAGAGTTGATGCCTTTGAATGGCGATGGTGGCGAAGAATACTGGAAATACCATGCACTGCCAGAAGAATGAACAAGTCTGCCCTGGAAGAAGTGCAGCTGGAATGCTCCTTGGAAGCAAGAATGGCCAGACTGCATCTCACCTACTTTGGTCATGTTGTCAGAAGGGACCATTCCCTGGAGAAGGGTACCCTGGACTTCCTGTCCTCCTTTTCCAGTCCTTGGGGCCTCTGAAGGGTCTTCCTCAGGGAGACCAGCACCTCCTGGGGTCAGTCACCCCTCCCTGTGGCTGGGCGCTTGGTCTTATGGGAGTGCCAGTGTCTCATTGGCCTTTGGGTTGGAGGGGAGTCCTCTGTCCTCATTTTATTGTCCCTGAATTATCCTTGTTTTCTCTTTGTAAAGATGCCCCACACTCTTCCAGAAGGGGCTCTTGGCAGCTTCTGTGGGGTGCTGGCTTGAAGTCCATGCCTCTGTGAAGCTGCCGAGGCAAAGGGACCCCACCAAGAGGTTTTCCTTGATGGTGCGATGGGCTCCCACCCTCGCTGGCCAGCCCCTCATTCACAGGACACAGGTGAGTGTCCTGGGAGTGCTCTGTCCTCATGGCACATCTTGGCCACTTGCCCCTTTTGAAAAATGAAAACCAAAACTCTGCGCACTGGGTGCCTACCAGGAAGACTCCACTGTTGTAGCCAATGCTATCCTGACAACTCATTAGGTACTAAGGACACCAAGCCTACTACCCCTCACCAGCCTATGGGCTCCCTCTGCCTTCCCACCCACCCTTTTCTCAAGCCTAACTTCAGATGCCATCTCCTCCAAGAAGTCTTCCTGGATTTCCCTCCCTTTTCTCAGCGTCCATGAGAGCGCTGACCACTCTGAGCCGGGCCTGCCTCTCTCTTATCTAGACCGTAAGGACGGGGAAGCTGTGCCGTTGGCAAGCCCTTCATCAAATGTGTGGTTAATTTGATTTGGTGGCGTCAGTGCGAGCGCATGACTGAGGGAGCCGGAGCGGAACCCTCAGCTTGGCACGGAGAACAGCCACAGTCATCTGAGGCTGCCTTAGGAGGTTCTGGAGCATTCGGGCCAGCGCTTGCATCTCTGCTGGCAGGAGCAGTGACAGCCCTGAGCTGGAAGAAGATCACATTGCCTCGTGTCCCATGCCGTTCACAGATGTGGGGGTCAGCGTTCCCCACTGTGTTGGAGGGACACAGTTCAGTCCATAGTAGCATGAGTTCCTTTAAGAGCTTAAAGCCAAATCATCTCTCAGGAAAAATGCAGCTATCAGTTGGCCACACTGGAGAGCTAGATGGGGGAGGGGGATCACACTGGAGAGCTAGGTGGGTCGCCTGAAGGTGGGGGGAAGGGGTGGAGGGGCCTGGAGAGCCTGCCTGCACCTGAGTCCTGGGGTAGCCTGATCTTGATCCTGATGGCAAAATGGCATCACCTGGGAATGCCGAGCCTCACCCCGACCCGTTAGAATCTCGAGGTGGGGCTCCGCCATATTTCCAATGTGAGTGCAGTCCAAGCCGAGAACCAGCTGCCTCCCAGTTCTCACCTGCTGGCCTCTGGCCTCACTCTGACTTCCAGGGCCTCTGCGCAGCCTGGATCCAGTGACTGGCTTTCCCTTCCCATCCTGACCTGTCTCCCC